GGAGCTCGGCCCTGGGACCATTCCTCTGTCTGGAGCCAGCAGGACCCTGCCAGCCGGTCACCTCACAGGGGCCCGCTCCCCACGGTCGGCCCACGAGGAGCTGGGGTCACCGGGCGGGAGGCTCAGGGTGTGTGGGGCCCCGGCAGCAGCCCAGACACAGCCGAGGGGACCCCAGTCCTTCCGCGGCTCGGGCAGCGGAGGTGACTTTTGGGGTTGTCCCACTAAGCAGGCCTGGACCCCTCCTGGGACCCACGGAACAAGTTTGGCCCAGGGTTTGGGGGGTCAGGGGATGGGCAGACCCAGGTCAGACACACCCCAGGTCGTGGTGGGCGGCAATCCAAGGCCAGGAAGACCTCGGAGCATGGTGGAGCCCTAGGAGGCTATGAGGTGCACTTGGTCACCCCAATGCCAGGCTCCCCAAGAGCCCCTCCCAGGGCAGGGGTTCCTGTGGAGCAGTGAGTCCTATACTTTCAACCTGCCTGGCAGGGGGATGATGGGCCAGGAGACGGCGGGGAAACTGAGGCAGGGCAGGACTGTCGCTGGACAAGTCAGCTCAGCGGCCCTGACGGTCCGTCCTAGAGGCTGGGGCCTGAGACCCAGGTGCCGCGGGGCCTGCTCCCCAAGGCCTCTCGAGGGGGAGCAGACAGCCATGTGGGGTCCTCAGGGGGGAGCAGAGCCCCCGGCCCCTGGCACCGGCCCTGCGGTGGGCTTGATCCCGGGCTCCAGGCGGGGGCCCCCCATTCTTGGTACCACACAGGCCACAGGCCCGATAGATGGAGAGGGGGCCCTCACACGACGGTGGGTCCCTGAGCCTGGCCAGGCCCTCCACACCAGAGGTTCCAGGAGGGCTGGGTCCGTGCCCTCGATGCCGGACCTGGACAGACCTGGACAGAGGAAGGGAAGGGAGGAGGTACAAGGCTCCCCTTCCCCGGGCCCACCCTCCTCGGAGTGGGGCGGCCTGGGGGCCTGGGGGTCTCCACGCCAGCCCTCTGCCCTTCCTCTTCCTGCAAAAGCAACAGAAGGCAAACGCCCTGCCCTCCCCCCACGGCCC